GATGATGGTGAACGTCTCACACCACAGCAATAATCTCTGTGTGATATTAAATATGTAACAGTTTGAACGACATCAGCAACTGTTGTCACATGCTAGCAACCACCATCACCACCCATTGACGCTCATACACATACAAATGTACAGGGGGTTCATAGAATTTCCCGTGATGCCAATAGTGGTCTCCCGATTCCAAGCCAATGATGTTGTCGCAGTCATTACCAAAAAATAAAACCCAAAATTATTTCCATACAACTCACACAAATTGTTTGGTGTGTGGGCGTGTGTGTATGAGTATGGTGGAGACGGCGGCTGCGAGAATATTGCAGTAAACCGTATTTTATTTAAATATGCCATAATTGCTGGGGCAATAAAGGGTGGTATGATAAGTATAAGGAAATTTAAAAAAAAAAATGGCAAATGGTAAAAATTTTATTTTCCAAAAAATTGGAAGAAAGTAGAAAAACAGGTAACAGCGTTATACGCTCTGAAAAAGGGCCTAACCCAAGTTTTTCTGCATTATTAAATTACCTCCCCTCTGTCATTGCTTGTCACCCTTAAATATTCTTCTCAGTGGCGGGTGTTAAGTACACTCCATCGTATTTGTAATGCAAAGTATTGAAGCATATCCCAAAATGGAAACGAAATTCTGTTCAGTTTCTCTTGGAACACAAAGTCGTCGAGGAAGGGGTTAAACATCAGGGATCTTAAAGCCATATGTTATGCGACTCGATTTCTCTTCACTGCAGTGTGTTGCGGTCCCGAAGGGGATGCGTACAACGCAATAACAACGAAAAAATAAAATTTAATATCTACTAAACGTTTTAGTATCGTTTTGCAGCAAACTTTTCAGTCTATGTGGTGTGGTGTGTGTCGGAGTGCGTGTGTGTGCGTGGGCGGGTGTAGAAATGTTTTAAGAAAAACGATACTTCTTCATTAACTCTCAAGCAAATGTTATAGACTTGACAACCGGCAGGCAAGTAAAACTCCTAAATTGAAATGAGTTTTTAAAACTGAACACGCTTTCAGATTCAGGCATACACGCACACCATGTACATACACTCATTTGAGTGTGTGTATGTGTGTTTGTATGATGATTTGTAAGAATTCATTTGATGGCTGGTTTTTCTGGCACAGCATCTTGTGATTATTTTCCAAGAAAATAATTAAAATGTTAATAAGTTTACCTCGCTCGTCTCATCGTCCTTTGCCATCCAAGTGAAAGCAATTCGAGATCCGAAACGAGTTGTGTAAAACAATACCATCGTGTTATGGCTTGGCAAAGGAATTTTTCAAAATCCTTGATAATTGTTTTATGTCTGGAAAAGAGAAAATAGCATAACATCAAATGTAACTTAAATAATACGTACATAGAAATGCTTAGAGGAACAGAAATACATTTGAAATACATAGCTAAGCATATGCAATTATAATTGAGTAATGCTTTTGATATTTCAATACATTCTTTGTAAATTTCAAAATAATTTCTCTTGTAGTCCTTGATAAATATTCGTATAATATTTACGATTATATGTGGAAGAAATTCACTTTAGATTGACCTTAATTAGTTCTATACTAAACAAATATCTTTACAGAATTCATGAAATATTCTATTTAAATATTGAAGCACATGCAGTTGGTCTTTTGAAAATAAAGGGAGATTTTCAAGGTTCATCATATATTTAATATAAGTCTTCTTCCATAAAAATACAACTGCGGAAGAAAGTTTGTTGTAATTGCTCCCAGTATTCGTATTAAAATTAATTAAACATATTAACATTAAATATATTAAATTAGTTATTTAAAAATATATAAAATATATAAATATAAAATCGTCCTTCAAAAATACTCTTTAAAAATTTTAAATTATATATTTTAAATATCCACTTTAAAATGTCCTTAAAATTCCATTTTTATAAAAATTGTATAAAAAAATCCACGAAAAATGTTGTTAAAAAATTCAGGACTTTTAGTACGTTGGGCGCCATATCTGTTTGTGTCTGGTGTCATTGCCCACCACAAGGTGGTCAGGGTATTACGTCTTTGTGCATTTGTTTGTAACAGACAAAACGGAAACAAGATAGACCCATAGTTCTTTTTGATGATCTGTATAGAATCACATTCTGAGTCGATTTACGCCGTCCGTCTGCCCGTCCCTCTGTCCATGTATTTTTTTAAACAAAGTACAACTCGCATTTATTACCCGATCCAGATGAAATTTTGCACAAATCATTTGTTTGACCCAAGGACGAATTCTATAGAAATTGGAAATAATCTGTCAAAATTAAAATATAGCTCCCATATATATCTTCGTACGATTTGTCTTTTATTGTGCACCAAACGTGTAATATCAGTGCAAACAGCATAGAATTTTCACATACGACCAAATTAGGCCAAATAGGTGTAACAAATTGGATCGTAATCGGTTCAGATATAGCTATGGCTCCCACATATATTGTTCATCCGATTTTTTATTTTTGTCCTTCGCAGCCGTAATATGAACTCTGTAACAACAATATTTGGAGAAATATATCAAATACAGCTAAGAACTAACTTTGCTAAATTTTGTCGATATCGGTTCAGATTTGGATATAGCTCTCATATATGTAACTTCGTCCGATTTACTTTTATTGTGCACCAAACGTCTAATATTTGTCCAAGTGGGATGGAATTTGGCACTTATGACCGAATTGAGTCTAGAAGCTAGTATGTCAAATTCGGTGAAGATCGGTTCAGATATAGTTATAGCTCTCATGTATATTGTTCATCCGATTCGTTATATTTGTTACCCACAACCGTAATATGCACTCTGTAACAACAATTTTTGGAAAAATTTATCAAATACAGCACAGAAATACCTTTCCCAAATTATATCGAGATCGGTTGACATTTAGATATAGCTCAGGGTGAGTTAAAAAAACTGCAACAAAGCCAAACGCCATAACTTTTACATTTTTTTATAAATTTTATTGAATTAAAACAAAAAAATTTCGGAAATAGCATCAAATTTTAAAATACGTTTAGATTTGTTCGAATTGGTCACTTTTGGCACGAATTATGGCCTTCAAATGTCACACGCTGCCCGAATGTTGCTGTGCGGCATTTTGGCCCAATCCCGACGAAGAGCTTGCTTGAGGTGATCGACACTTTGGTATTTTTTAATGCTAACCTTGCTTCCTAAAATACTCCAGACACAGTAGTCAATAGGATTGTTATCGGAGATTTTGGTGGCCATTGTGCGCTGAAAATGTAGCGAGTCCTGTTGGAATGCCCAAGGTCTGCGGCCAAAATATTTGCGTGCCCAAGGCTTTAATACACCCTCCATAATATTTTCGCGATAATATTCGACATTTATTCTGATGCCACGGTCGATTAATACGAGCAGAGAGCGACCATCGGCTGTTATGGTGGCCCACACCATCACCATGGACGGCGCTTGAGTTCTGGTGACCAACCGAAGGTGCACATTTTCAGCTGATCTCTTTGGCAAGTAAACACGATCATTTTGCTGGATTACAAACTGCTGGACAAGGTATGTTTTCTCATCAGAGAAAACCGCTTTCGGCCAAGGTAGTATCATGGTAACGAGCGGTGGTACGAGACACAAAATATTTATTCACATTTAAATGCTGGAGTGCACTGGAACCTCATTTTGTAACCACTTTTGTGTGGCGCGTGCGTTGGTGCTGAGTCCAGTTGGAATGTCCAAGGTCTGCGGCCAAAATGTTTGCATGCCGAAGGCTTAAATACACCCTCCAGAATATTTTCGCGATAATATTCGGCCTTTATTCGGATGTCACGGTCGATTAATATGAGCGGCGAGCGACCATCGGCTGTTATGGCGGCCCACACCATCACCATGGCCGGCGTTTGATTTCTGTTGGCCAACCGAATGTGAACATTTTCAGCTGACCTCTTTGGCAAGTAAAAACGATCATTTTGTCTGTTTACAAACTGCTAGACAGCAAATGTTTTCCCATCGGAGAAAACCAAGTTCGGCAGTTCAACATTTTCGGCCAGGCGAAGCAACTCTTTAGTTCTTTTAAGTCTATTTTCTGTCTGTTGCGGTGTAAGTTCTTGCACTTTTTGGAATTTCAATAGCTTTACCCCGAGCTCATTTTTCAATACTTGCCAAATGAAATATTGCGATATGTTCAGCTCGCGTCCCATTTTTCGGCCACTGCGACGCGACATTTCGAACCAATTCTGCTGATGTTGCTGTTTTCTTCCGTCCACTTCCCTGATGTCGGTCTACGCTACCAGTATCACTGTAACGAGCGATGGTACGAGACACAAAAGATTTATTCACATTTAAATGCCGGAGCGTTCTAATGATAGCCACTTGTGGTTTTCCAGCCAAATATAAAGAAATCACACTATCACGCTTGAATTCCATCACGAACAACTTTTTTTCTGAAAAATTCTCACTAAAATGCTTTTGTTCGCTGATGTTTTTTTATGTTTCCATATACAGTTTAAAATATATTTCATATATTTGGGGGCCTTTGTCAAAAATGAGTCAGATTTTAAGTATCCTCTTAGCTGAGCTGATTGGGCGCCAACTCATGGGAGGTCTTTATTTCTGTTTCATTTCGTTTTCCATCGGAATTTTATTTGCTTTGAAGAATATCTCATGCTTCCAGTGTTCAACACCTCCATCGATATTTTTAAAGTTGTCAAGGACAGACTTTTAATTTATTGGGCGCCAACTTATCGGACGCGTTTGTTTATACCATATTCCATTCCAACCTATTCTGAGCAGTCGATACTGCTCCTGAAATTCCTCTAAGCACTAATCTGTAAAGCTGCTCTTAATATCTGGCTCAAGTAAATTTCATTGCCTTATGCACCAATTTTTTTATATTTTTGTATCTTCCCTAAAAAATAAGTAGTTATTTCTTTCAAATATTGTCCCGCCTTTTAATTATTAAACAAAAAACATTCTTAGCAATTATTTTTTTTTTTCATTCTGACTAATCCCATTATTTTCTTTCTACTTTTAGATTTATCTTTACAAAAGAAACGGGACAGAACAAAAAAGGAAAGCGTGTGCTGTTATATTAGCGTGACATAAATACACCAAACAGGTAAGTCTTCAATCATTGTTCAAACTAATCAGTGAAGGGAGTGAGCGCACGGGAGAGGGGAGGGGGGTTGGATTTATGTTTAAATAAATCAAAGCAAATAGAATAAATATAAACAAATGTGAACTGGCCTGATTTCATGCGTGCCCTTTTCTACATGATGGACGAACTATCATGTAACGTGTCGGAAAGAAATGCGACCAACCACTGCTTACACAGAGAGTTCAGATTTGTTTTTATGTTCGAAAACAAACTTTTGATATGATAATACTTGGCTCTGACATTTTCCATGAACGAAAGTCCACACACACGCTTGCACGCTGACATATGGCAATTTGAGTGAAGTTTAGCGCTTGCCTGTCTTGTCTATTTATGCCGTTGGCTTGTCAAAAGTATTTCTTGCGCTCTCAGGTTAAAAATGATAGATTAGTAACACCCTGTCGTAGTTGTGGTTGGTATACATGTAGGTAGTATGCTAGGAATGAATAACGCCTAACCTATCGCAAAGGGGGTAGAGTGAAAAAGAATGCCTGGCAGAACTAGCAAAATAAAGCAAATAAAGGTTTGTCCCAGAGAAATGTGGAAGTAATTTCAAATACTTGTGATTTCTGTGGATATATTCCGACTAATTACCCTAATATATTTACCGGTGTATTACATTCTTGCCCTTAGGAACACACCTACTATTTTCTCCCTAACTTTATAACCAATTAAATCGAGAACTTTGTTTACAAAATGACGAGCTTTTCACCCCCTCCCTCCCCACGCATTCATATCAGTCCTAACTTGTTCTTACAGTCTTAAGGAAATTATAAAAATGAATAAATATCATAAAATTTGATATGTTGATATCTGGCAACGAAACGGGTTTCATTTCATATTTCACAGAAACCAAGTGAAACTGATAAGGTTTATTAAACGCAGCCAGCACGCAATGGCGTTATTGAAAGCGGATTTGATTGAGATCATAAAACAATAAACAGACAATCAAGCAAGCAGACAGCTAGCCAGCCAGCCAGCCAGCTAGGTAACTTGTGACATGGCCACTACAATGGCCCAGGAATGAATGACTGAATTTTTATGACAGTCTTTCTTTCCGAAAGGGAATTCAAATCATATTTGTTTAACTCTCTTATATCCATACAATAAACCCCGAACAACAACAACAAATCAAAGCTCCCCAACCCCCTTGCAATAGGTGAGTGACTGACAATCAAACATAATAACAACAACAACAACAATCGTGAAAAAACGGTATAAATGACTGAGCGATGTGATTTTGAGGGAGATGGAAAGTCAAAGATAAAAGCCTGCGCTTGGTGTGCAGCGTAAAACGTTGGGCGCCATTAATCATTTATTAATCATATGACAAATAAACAAATAAAACTTTGAAAATTGAAAAGCCCAGCGAGCGTCTGAAGCGACAAAAAAAAACTTATGAAAACAGGAAAAAATCCAAAGTTGATATTTTCATGACAACCAAAACTGTAATCTATCGAGTAACACTGATCAGGTTATCTAATGAAGCACTCCATGACTCCACAATTAAATGGTTAAGAAATTGCCAAAAAAAAAAGCAACCAGCGCTAACGAGTATTAAAAGCCTCATTCACACCTCATTTATATGTAAACTAAGAAATGCCTGCTGTTTCACCATTAGCTGTCAGAGTAGTTAAGGAAAAACGCATGCAGCATGCAACAAATACAATGCATGCATGAGAGGGACACAATGGCAGATTTTGTTTGGAAAATTTATGCATTATTATAAATGTGATACACATGTCATACACTTATAAGCTTTTTCCGAAATTCGCTGCAAGATTGAGCGCCACTTTCATTATTTTAGTCTGTTGGCCCCATATTCCAGTATTTTCCCGTTATCATTTTTCGATTGTTTTTTTTAGATTGGGCGCGAATTTTAATATTTGTTTTTTCTGTTTTTTTTTTAATGATCTCAACTTCTCAAACTTTTCAGAATATTGGGCGTCACTTTTGCAGTTACAACCTTTTAGTCCACAAAATTGTTTAAGCTCTTCCATTTTTTTTAATTGTTTGAGTTTTCGTTTATTTGGGCGCCAAATTTTAATATTTGTCTCTTCTGTTCTTTTTATACACTATACCACATATTGGTAAGGGTATTATGTCTTTGTGCATTTGTAACATGGAGAAGAAAGCGAGATAGACCCATAGTTATTTTGAGGATCTGCATAAAATCACTTTCTGGGTCGATTTATGCATTTAAGTCGCATTTATTATCCGATTGAGATGAAATTTTGCGAACAATATTTGTTTGGCCCAATGACGAACCCTTTTGAAATTGCTGATAATCGGATAAGATTTAGATATAGTTCTCATATATCGTCACCCGATTTCGGGTTAATTTTCCCAATATCAGTCCCAATGACCTGAATTTTGGCATATCCGACGGAATTTAGTCAAGGAGCAAGTACTTCAAATTTCAATGATATTTGATACAGGACATTCGGTTCAGATATAGCCATAGCTCTCTTATATATATGTTTCATACGATTTGAAGTTTAAAGTACCTCACACGAGCAATATGTACAGGGTTGCCCATATTCGACGGACCCATCTGGCAACGCCATAACTTTTGACAGAGATGTCACATCGCTTAATGACATACCGCGTTTGAAGCGTCAGTCCAAGCAGATTTTTTCCATGAACCAATATACGCCACGCGAGCGCTCTGAAATATTTGAAATTTACATTCAACAGAAGAAGTCAATTGTGAAAAAAAAATGTGAGAACTGCGCCTTCTGAGAACACCATTAAGCGTTTATACGAAACATTTTCGACTGGTAAGGCTCTTTCTAATCCGAAGAGGCCATATAAAAGTCGACCAAGGCGATCAGGCGAGAATATCGCTGCCGTACGAGCCAGTGTTGAGGGGTCCACAAGAACATCCCAAAAACTCCGTTCTCAGCAGTTGGGCATGGCTCGGTCCACTTTACAACGGATTATTCGCATTGATTTGCATTTGTTCCCGTACAAAATTCAATTGACGCAAAGAAAGTTGCCTGCGGACAAGCCTCGTCGATTGGAATTGGCCCAAAGAGTCATCGAAATGGCCGAAGATGACGAGCAATTTTGGAACAAAATTATTATGTCCGATGAAGCTATTCCGGCCGAAATGTTGGCAAAAACGATGGAAAATGCAGCAAACAGGGCACAATACGTCATCAACGCCAGAGGCGGCCATTTGAGAGATATCATATTCAAAAATTGATGTAAAAAAATCTACTTGGAACAAATTAAACGATTAACATTGCCAACCGCCAAATTTTATTTTTTTTCTTTGATTTAAAAAAACAAAACATGGGTCCGTCGAATATGGGCAACACAACACAACAAATATGCAGCTCTCAAATAAGTATATCAAATTTTGTCAAGATTCAGATTTGGATATAGCTCCCATATATATCCTCAACCGATTTCTGGTAATTGTGCACAAAATGGCCAATATCAGTCCAAGAGTCTTGAATTTTGGTACATCCGACCAAATTCAATCTAGAAGCAAGTACATCGAATTCGGAGAAAGTCGGTTCAGATATAGCCATAGCTCTCACATTCATAAAATACATTCGACAACAATGATATTTGGTACCAAATATCTTATAAAGCTCGGAAATACCTTTGCCAAATTTTATCGAGAGCGGCTAAGATTCAGATATCCTCATACATATCCTTAATCCAATTTCAGATGTTTGTGCAAATAATGAAATGAATTTCAGCCCAAATGGAGTGAATTTCGGGACGTACGTTTCCATTTTGTGGAACTCGGCTCCGATATACATTTTTTTAATATAATCCTTCTCTATAGCAAACTATAAGTGCTTTAAAGCCAAATGTTGATAGGTGGTATGATCTACTTAAAATAAATTCTATTATTACGGGAGCTCTACTAAATATGCATAGATAATTTTGGGGGAATATAATACAAGAAGTTTGAAAATATATTTGGTAGAATCTATTTCAATAGGAATATTTAAATATATATATTTGCCACATTTTCTTATAATTCTATACTCTCCTACAATCAAACAAAAAATTGGCTTATATTTAGACGACTCTGCTTAGTAAATGTAGAAGTACGGATTTTTAAAATTGCAAGTGTCAATTTTGTCAACTCCACGAAATATAATAAAATTTCAAAAGTTCTCTTAACTATAAAATGCTAAAAAAAATTATTAAAGTTCGCCTATTTATGTTCCATGGAATTTACCCCGTAATTATTTTAATCCTTTTCAAAAATCCTCCCCACTGTGCCATGCTTCAACGGCAGCAAAGCGGCAGCCTTTTCCAACTGATGTTAACATTATGCAGTAGTTGCGGTGCACTACTTCAGGTACCATGTTCGGCTGTCGAAAACATTAACATGGCTATGATGCAGGTTTCATTTTTCTTATGGAGTTTACTTTGGCACACTGCGACGCCGTTGACCGGGTGCCCCCCAAAAACAAATTTACAAATCTATCAACACCACATTTTGCGAGTTTTATACAATTAAACATTTCCATTGGAATATAAACAACATCCAAAAAAGTTAAACCCAAAACCGTAACCAAGACATGCCACTTAACATACATTCTTACACACATAGGCAATTCATCTAAAAATTGTATTTAATTTTAATTGCCACAGCACGTTTTTGGAATCAAACCAACGAAAATACCCCAAAAGTCGGTAAAAACAATTTCTTGAGTGTAGCTGCTGGTGGCGACGATGATGACGATGATTATGGCAATGGCGATGGAGTTGGTGTTGCTGCCATTGAGGGGTGTTTTGTTGGGTTGGCGTTGCAATTTTACAGCTTACATGCCGTCATAGACCACCACCATAGCCGCCGCCACTACCACCACCATCATCATTGGTATCTATCTGCAAAGCCACCAGCGTTTATGTCTTTACAGTCACGAGCGTTTCAATCGCCACATATAATGGAGCTGGTGTTATGGGGGTTTTTTATGGTAGTTGCATACACC